CTGGACTAGGTGCGTTCCAATGAGTCTTCCTACCAATATGACCATGTTGCGAAAACAAGGTCAAACAACCGCTAATATTCTTTACTTGGCCTTGCTTACCAAAGGCTTTGCATTTGATAATGCCTTATTAATGCATTCGTTTATTATAGTAACTACATGGTACTGTATTGACAATAGTCTCACTACATATATGTACTATGAGAGATTTATCTCGTCTTGAAAGTTACATTAGCTTAGCTCATTTCATTGCGAAAAATCCTTTTATCTGTCCTTTTATCACTTTAGCTGACCTGATTTGGGTTCTTATTAAATATTTACGGAAAGCTTATAAACTCAATTTCTGATTATCTGCTTTCATATCACTAGGCTCTCTCATCTATTGATTTATTCTTACATGGTTTATTATCCCTTGTTTTCTATTTTTCAATGCACTTGACCTTGGATCCTACCGAAACTTCGAAACCATAATTAATCGATTCATAGCCAAAACTCCTGTCTCTTCACCCGGCTCTTTGAAAAAAAGTGAGTATTTTTAAGCATGGTAAGTGCATTGTGATATAATAAATCTACTAAGTAAATTATATATTTTTTACTTGAAACATCTTCCTGATTTACTAGTGCTTCCAATCACGTAACGCCTCTTTGATTAGTCTTTCTCTTTTCTTCCTTCATGCTTTTTTGCTCTCAAGGTTTCAGCCACGGAGCACCTGTGGCCTGCGTAGATGAAGATCAGCTTTTTGTAACTGCTGAGCACGCTACCGTCGCGCATTCTCCTCTTGTAATGAGACCTCATGGAAAGCCGCATTGCACTCCGGCTGGTCAAGTTCGAGTTCCTCTGGAGCGGCCCACTGATGTAAGGAACATTGAAGGGAAAAGCATATTTTGCTTTCTTTATAATACGATGCTTCGTTTACTTACTCTTCCATAGGGACTTTGCCGAACTTTTATTTTAATTTAAGTTTCATCACCTTACTTTCCTGACTTGGTCGTATTGCCAAAGAGACCTAGAGAAATGCGCCTTGCCTGGAGTCCCTAGTATCCATGACAATCTCCAGAACTCATGTGAATTGAGTCAAAAATTGCGACTGTTACTAAAGAAGTGGAGTATTTAGGTGATACTGAAGGTAACAAGAGAAATTTGACAAACTAGAATTCTCGGGGTTTTATCGCATAAAATACGGCAATTAAGGAGCATAAAGACTTTGTAGAAATATTTATACAGGAAGATCAGAAATGGCAGAATACATTGCAGAACCGAGACATGGAGTCTACTGGAAATCGGCAGAAAGGCTGGCCGCATATGATGAGAATACAATAAAACGCAAAATTCAAGAGTTCATCTATTTCCTGACAGAAAGAAAGGGAGAAGGCAAAATTTGCACAAACTTTATACATTACTTTAGAAAACTTGTTGGGGATTATCAAAATGAAGATGATTAGATCAAGGAAATATTTTCAACTTTATAAAAAGAAATTACAAGGAATAGGCCACAGCGGAACGATCGTAAGCTAAGAGGAGACGTATACATCGAGTCTTATCAAAACAAGTAGAACAGCT